AATCCCTCTGAGCTAGTGCACCCAGTGGTGTCCCCTGGGAAGGGCCTCACTGGTCACAGTGAATTTTTTCAGGAAAGTGGTTTTGCTTGAACCTCGTTTTTTGTGATGACCATTTTAAGAGAACAGCGTGCGGCCGTCAAATTTTTTTCCTGTGATGTTGAACACAGCTTGCAAGGTCAGTGCTATGGGAAAAAACTCAAGTGTACGTGGTTTTCTTGTTTCTAAAAAGGTGAAATGTCGATTGATGGCAAACCTTGTTGTGGATGTCTGTGTCAACTTCCCGAACAGAAGAAAATGGCGAAAAAATATGTGCAGTTGTGCTCAAAGATCAACGACAGACCATTGAAGAGAAGGGGAAGTTATCTGGACTATCTTGGAGGAGTTCAGTTCAGTGGATTTTAATTTGGAAGATTTGGGAATGAGAATGGTCGCTGAAATCCGTGCCCCGGATTTTGACTGACCAGGAAAAAGAGCTGTGACTGGAAACATGCCTTGAAAGAACAGCTCTGAAGCAACCAGACTTTTTCCCCAAGTCATTGCTGGTGATGAGACATAGTGTTATTCTTACAACTTCAAAAGCAAGCAGCAGTCAGATCAGTGCAAGATGCCATTGTCACTTCACCCAAAGAAAGTCTCAAGTGAAATCAAAGATCAAGATGATGCTCATTGGGTTTTTTTTGGTGTGAGGGGGATAATGCATTTGGAGTTCATCCCACCAAGTCAGACTGTTAATCAAGCTTTCTATTTAGAGGTTTTTAAAAAAAAGTGTAACAGTGTGCAGCAAAAGTCTGATTTGTGTCACAGGGGACTGGTTTTGGCACCACGACAGCAACGCACCTAACGCAGCCATCTCAGTGTGCCAGTATTTGGCAAACAGCATGCCTCTCGCTCCATGCACCTTACTCACTTGACCTTGCTCCAGGCGACTTCTTTTTGTTTCCGTGAATGCAGAGGGACATGAAAGGACAGCGATTTCATGACATATATGAGGTGAAGAAAAAAAATGAAGGACGTGGTGTCAGCCATCCAACAGATGAGTTTGAAAATGTTTCCAGGAATGAAATTACAGATTTGACATATGTATTATGTGTAGTGGACAGTACTTTGAAGGTGATAGGTTATTTTGTAAAAAAAAAATTTTAAGTAATGACTTTGGAGAAATAATCCATTTTTTTGCATGTGGTGGAGAGGGGCTTGTATATTGAGAACTTTTTGTGCAGTGGCTTCTCAACCAAGAATTACAACAACAAAAAAATAGTGCCATGCTCCTTTGCCACTCGTGCAGGTTCAAAATTTGGGGGATGTGAGCAACAGAAGATGCCTCTTGGGCATATAGTGTTAAACCTTCAGTTGCTAACTGAAAGGCTGACAGTTCAAACCTACCAGAGGCATCACTGCAGAAATGTGGTAATCTTTCCTGAAGTTTTAGAGCCTTGGAAACTATGGGGCTTTTAGATCTACTCTGCCCCATAGGGTGGTTTTCAGCTAGATTTAGCTCAATGACAAATGGTATGGGTGAGTAGTTGTGTTTGGTGAAATGACAGAGGGAGGTAGTTGAATGATGGAGAATCTGTGGAGTAGGCAAATACTATTTAGAAACAGTTTTTGTATATATGAGTAATACTCTTTTGCTTATACTTTCTCGATTAGTTCTCTAACATTATTGAACTGAATTTGCATACCATACATTTCATCCATTTGAAAGTATACAATTTTATTGTTTTATTATATTCACAAATAATTACAATATCTTCACAGACCATTTTATAAAATTTTAATTGCGTCAAGAAATCCCACATTTTAAGTTACAACCCTGTTAGTCTAAGTAACTACCAATCTACTTTGTCTATAAATTTTGCTATTCTGACCTTTCAAATGAATTAGAATTATAATACTGTGATCTTTTGTGCCTGACTACTTTGACTATAGAGTATTTTCAGCTTTCTCATACGATCTACATTTTATTTATTCATATGTCCTTTGATGGACATTTGATCTCTTTGTGCATTTATATGTATGTACATATGCAAATCAAAACCACAGTAAGGTAACATGGGCATCGTTCACCAAAACCAAGTTCTCACGGCCATTGTGACCGTTCTGGCTCAGCGAGTCATAGGACAGGGTAGAAACTGTCCCTGTGCTTTTCCTCTGATAACTAATCTTATGTATCATTCCTTGCTCTCAACCATTTGTATGTTTTTGGAGGAGTTTCTGTTTGGGTTCTTTGTCCATTTTTTATTTTATTGATTGATGGATTGAATGAATTTTAAGGCTTGTATTTTCTAAATATAATTCCCTTATCAGAAAAGTTATTTTTGAATAGTCTTATTTTTGCTATCTTTTCATTTTTCTTGAAGTTTATACTTTTGATAAGACCCACATCTTTTTGTTGCTCTGACATAAGGAGCCAAATACAAGACTATGATGTCTTGTTCATATGTTTGCTCTTACATTTAATAGGTCTTTTCTTTTTAGAGTTAATTTTTGTAGATGATATATGATAAGGACCCAACCTTATTATCCCTGAGCCATTTACTGAACAAACTATTTTTGCCTTAGTAACTGGGGCTTGGCACCTTATGGAAAATTGCTTAACCATAGACGCTCAAGGGTGATTTCTGGATTCACTTTCAAGTTTTGTCATTGATGTATATTCTCTATCAGGCAGCATATTTTTAAGCCTGAAACAGAAGGTATGATTCCTAGTTTAGATGTGGATTCTTTTAATTCTTTTTCCCCTAGGAAACGGCAAATTGTTTTGTGTAAGCTTTTTGCTTTTTTTCACTCTGGGGTGAGTGTTGGAGGAATGTAGTTGTTTACGTCCTAAACTGTTTCCCCTAAATTTGAATTAGTGGTAAAATCTAGATTGGGCTTGTAGCTCTCATCTGTCTATCTAGTTTTTTACAGCAGTGAAGTTCTTTTATGAACTTTGTCCATGTTATTTCAAAAAATTGAAAACCGCATTGCTTTTCCTCTAAATTTATTTGCCTAGCCATTTATGTAATGTTTGCAAGCCTGGGAAACAACTTGAAGGCAATCTAAATGGAACCCTAACATTTTTTTTTCTCTTCTTAGATCAAAGGGATTATATCTGTGAATACTGTGCTCGAGCCTTCAAGAGTTCACACAATCTGGCAGTGCACCGCATGATCCACACTGGCGAGAAGCCGTTACAGTGAGTATTTATTCACTGGTGATCGTCCTGTGCTCCACAAGGGGGGTAGCACTTTACAGACATGGCAGGGGCTACCACTACTGGTTTTTGCCTAAATAGAACTTGATACTGATTGGGGGAGGTACTTGGTATTCTCTTTTCTATGTTATCAAGCAGTTAGATGGAGGAGAGATCTGTTTAGTTTTTCTTCCAAATAACTTCGCTCACTCTTTCACAAGAAGTAGACATTACTAGTAGTTGCTTACATATCTGTATATAACTCCAAGTTCTCACCACATATAAGCTGGTTTCTCCATTTGATGAGCTATTTCTTCTTTCCCTGTACTTAGATGTGAGATCTGTGGATTTACCTGTCGGCAAAAGGCGTCTCTTAACTGGCACATGAAGAAACATGATGCAGACTCCTACTACCAATTCTCTTGCAATATCTGTGGCAAAAAATTTGAGAAGAAGGACAGCGTAGTGGCACACAAAGCGAAAAGCCACCCAGAGGTGCTGATCGCAGAAGCCCTGGCTGCCAATGCAGGCGCCCTCATCACCAGCACAGATATCTTGGGCACTAACCCAGAGACCCTCACACAATCGGCCGATGGTCAGGGTCTTCCTCTTCTTCCTGAGCCCTTGGGAAACTCAACCTCTGGAGAGTGCCTACTGCTAGAAGCTGAGGGCATGTCAAAGTCATACTGCAGTGGGACAGAACGGGTGAGCCTCATGGCTGATGGGAAGATCTATGTGGGAAGTGGCAGCAGTGGGGGTGCTGATGGGCTGGTCATGAACTCAGATATCCTCGGTGCTACCACAGAGGTTCTCATTGAAGATTCAGACTCTACTGGACCTTAGTGGGAGGGAAGACTTTGTATTTAAAGGCTAAAAAAAGGACAAAAAAAATTTAAAGCATTTAAAATCTAGTAAAATAACTGAAGGGCCTGCTCGTTCCATTGTGGATCACAGCACATAGACACACCCACCTCCTGTTATCCCTCTATTGTCCCCTTTATAAAATTGATGCTGCATTTAGGTGGACAAAAAAGAAGAAATTCTTAAAGAGCGGGGTATCCTCATCCTCACTTCCAGCCAGGCTTATTTCCCACAGATCCTCTTTCCAACCTATAACGAATGTGCTTTGGATCAGCTTCTAACTCTTATAGTATGTTACTGTCCTCGAAAGCCAGCCCTTCTTCTCTTTTACTGCTGCCCTATGGTTCTGGCTTCTACGCAATGCAGCACATGTATCCTCAAAGTATCTTACAGTTCTAACCTCCAGAGGCTGGCAGCTTAACTTGGCACTTTAGGGCCCCTTAGCAAGGTGAGCTGTTAAAACAGCACATGTCTCTTACCCTCTTTTTGTCCATTTCCCTCTGGGTTTCGCAAAGGAAGGACACATGGGGACCATCTCCCTCTGCTTTGACCCCAGCACTTCAATCCCTTCCCAACACCTCCATATGGCTCTCAGTGGTGCTCTCTTGCTTGAAAGCGGGCTCCCAAGAGGGAGGGGCTCCCCTCTACACAGGCTGCCTGAGAGACAGAGCTCTGTCAGATGAGGCAGTGAGAAAAGTCCCAGGTTAATGGCAGAAATTTGCACTTTGAACGTGTGTTTTTGTGTTGTGGAACTGAGATTCCTTATTTATTAACGCAAATCTGATTTTCTTTTTTTCTTCTTTGATCTTTCTTGCTATGTTTTGTGGGGCTGGGAAAGATTACATGATTGTGACATGGGGTCCTTTCCATAAGAGGTACTTTTGAAGTCAAGACAATAGGGTTGAAGAAGCACAGCCAGCCTCTAAAAGCATAGTTCACCAGTGGCCTTTAAAGCAAGCTGGTCCTCAGAATTAACAGTGTCACTACAGTAGCCTAGTGCTCGTTTGGAAGGAAGCTTTTTTAGGGACAGATGTTAGGCTCTTGGTAATTAGAGCTCTTTGAAATTTTTAGAGCATTGGGATTTAGGAATTTTGAGGGGATGTGGAGGATTTTCAGGGTCTTGATTATCGAAAAGAGACTTTCTCTGGTGAATCTGGCTTTTTGGTGGTGGGGGGTGGTGTCTTTTTAAAAAATATATTATTATTATTTTGTTCACACTGTTTTCTTATGCATAACCTAGGTGGCCCATCTCTGATCCCATGCTGTGTTTTGGGTTTGTTCTTGGGGTGGGGGGTGGGGGGTGGTGCATACCATTTGGTCATTCCAGCTCTTTGGTGTAAGGGATTCTGCCACCAAGTCTACCGCTTCTAAAATTAAAGGTCAAAGAAAATTGTTCTGGTCTGTTTCTTTAGAAGAGGAAAGGCTACTTCAATAGATACAAGTTAATATTTTTGGTAGCTCTGACTTTCACCTGAGATTCTGAGAATTGCCACTTCCTCAGGATAGGGCTTTTCATGGAGCCACTTCCTGTCCATGGGAGAGACCCAACCCCTACCCCCCAAAAGTAAAATATTAGTTTGGCTCATTTCTAGGGAATTAGCAAGGCAATTCTTAGCATTCACGTCCACGTAGAAGCTGGACTTGAAGGCTTGCCCTGTTTGTTCATTGTCTGAAATGTGTGATGGCTATTGGAAAGAATGAAGTTTTGCTGAGAACAAAATAAGAAACAGCTTATTTTTCACAAACACTAAAAATACAAAGTTCATTCATTTTTCTTTGATTTCTTTTTCCTTTCAAGAAGGGTAACAAATGTCATTTCTGACAGAGGCTTACTTTACACCCACTGGTGTCAGTGGTTGGAATGCCAGGGAATGGGGAGAGAAACACCTACAGTGATGGGGCTTAAATGCACCATTGTCTCTTTGTAGAGTGTTGCAGATTTGCCAGCCTTCCAATGTGGGGGTAGAAAATGGAATAAGGATAGAAGGGATCTGGAATATGCTTTCCTGCCCACAGTAGGCTGGTTTGTTGAATAAATTGGAAAACAAGTCTACTGCAAAGTTGTCTTCTATATGAGTCCATTTTGCACTATTTCTAGTTGGCATCTGTCTCCACACTCATCTTTTGTCTCCCTAAATGTCCTTTGCAGTCCTTTACAGTCAGATACTGTAGCCACCTCCGTAAAAGCAAACTACCTAAGAAAATCTTGTTTTTCTGAGATGGGGAAATTTGTTCCCTATACCACCCCACCCAACCTCCAGAAAGCAACGAGGTATTTCTAATTAGAAACGTCCTATTCTTGTTTTTCTTTTCCTTTCTTTTTCTTTTTTTAATACTCCCATTTGCCTGCAGTTTTTCTTCAATAAATTATTGTTGCGGTTTCTGCTGTCAATTAAATATAAATTTTATTTTGTGGGCTTTGTTTTCCCTTTGGGGAAAGGGATGCTAGCATAGTAAAGAGTTGGCATTAAAAAAAAGTTGGTATAAGTTAACTGCCCTATGCTAATAATCCCTCTTGCCTTTTCCTTTCTGTTCCCCCTACTGATTAATCTTTTAAGTCTGCATTTCCTACTCTGGACACATTCTGTTATCTTTTAGAAAAATCATCCCACTGTATGTTTCCTATCTTGGATTTGTGATTCTAAACCCTGATATTATGGTTGGGCTACAATGTACTTCCCCCATCTTTGTGGTTGGCTGGGGTTATTTTGCATTATTGATACTTAAGATGCTTCAGAGAGTTTGAACAAACACTGGCTGGATATAAACTTGGAGTAAAGAAAATGACTAAGGTATGAGAAAGCATCCACATGGAACATAGAGTGTACTACCAACCTAACTAGGATTATTATAGTATGGTTGATTGAAGTACCATGTTTTCTTCCTGTCTTTTTCCCACTTTCCAATATAGTACTCAAGAAAATTGAAAAGTTGTAATGGATCAGTTTAAAATAATTTTATTTCCTTAAAGCCTTTTTTGCCTGTTGTAATGTGCAGGACCCTTCTCCTTTGATGGGAGAGACAGGTAGTTACCTGAATCTAGGTTGAAAAGGTTATGTAAAAATATATATATAATAAAAGGGATACTCTGCTTTTCAGTTCCTTGTTGGTTTTTTTTTTTTTATCTAGGTAAGACATATCCAAAATAAATATGTAAAGAAGAAAAATAAAGTCTTCATGGAAGCAACTTGCCCTCCTCGGTTGTCTGGGTTACAGTTTACTTAGGTGTGACACACTTGAAGCTACCCCATGAGAAGACCCAAGTGCCCTCATACGGGAGTACTATTGTTTGCTCTTTGAGAACCATGTAGTAAGCCGGGGACTCTGGTCTAGTTCTTGATTTCTAATGATAAAATGCAATATATTTATGTGATTGTGCAGCAGCAGACATGGAAATTTCAACAGCCTTCTAGAGGGAACACAGGATGCTGTGAGGTTAATTTCACTAAGATGAAGACAAAACCTTGTTAGTGTTTATACGAAGGCTACACAGTATTCAATGTATATATGAAGTGCTAACTTCAAAAACGAACTAGAAACCTCCTTACACCTTGCCCATGCATTATTATTTACCTCTGGAAATTGCTCCTGAGAAGGCAGGTGTTATACCTTAGAGGCAGCGTCTATGGTATCCAATAGTGAAAGTTAATTAATTGCCTCATTTGTTGATGAAACCTGCAACCCTTACCTAATTAGCATCATCCTCTTACCTACTGGGTTACATATCATCTAATGACAACTGGGGAGGCACCTTTTAATTCTTTTGTCCTCATATCAAAGCCCTACACATTCTTTCATTTTGTTCAGAAATATGTGACTAGGATAAGGATGATAAAAGCATGTTGTCACTTGATTGAGACTGCCTTAGAAATGTTACCAAGTCAGGGTTGGGAGTTTCCTGCCCTTTGGAGAACAGGCCTAAACAGTACCTTCCTCATCACCACTATGGAGATTATAGATGCTTCTTCCTTAGTTGACTTTTGTCAAGTGTAATTAAACCAACTTTTAAGAAATAACTTCTCAAATGGGAGTGAAAAGGTGCTGTATGTTTAAAGGAACTTTTATACAAGTGTTTCGTGAACTGCATAAGAAAAGAATGACATTGGAGAGGCTGGGAGAAAGCACTGTAGCATCAGACTTGTGTTTTTAAACCTTGAGTCTGTTAGAATTTGTACACAATAACCATTTATTTCACCTTAGTTTATTTGCATGCAAAGTGGAGGAAATAATTTACTTTTTAGAATTACGGCTCAAGAGGTTTTCTTTTAAAGCCTTAAGCAAAGTGCCTGGCCATCATAGGGACTTAGTAAATGGAAGCTATTAGCAATGATAGCTTTATATTGCTGAGCCCTTTAACTAGACCGAGGGCGGGAGACCTGGTGAGCACAAGGGCGGGTGATACTAAAGTGAACAGACTGTGTATATGAAATAGATTACATTAGGTTGGGGTGTCTTGAGGATTAGTATGATAGTGACCTTGTTGCTAAGTACAAAAGCCAAACAATGACATAAAAACAAGTATGCCAAGCACTGAGTGGAGGAGAGAGATGGAGGCAGGCGCCGTAGGAAAAAAAAGCTGATTAAAAAGGGGCCTTTGATTGCACAGGCACAAAAATCCACAGCCAGGAATTTGCTGCCACCTCTGAGTCAGGCAGGGGGTGGGGGTGGGGGTGGGGTGCACAATCGCATTAGTAGAGAATGCCCAGTAGGTTTAGTCTGTGAGAGTCACATTTCTTATTTGGACCAGTGTAAACAGAAGCAAGCCCAGCTCACTTGTTTGCTTGGACGGTTGAGTTAGGGCATGGCTTTCGCAGAGCTCTCATCACTGACCCCTCACCGCCGGGACCTCTGCAGCCGCTCTATCTGGCTAGCAAGGAAGATGCGTTCAGACCTGACGACTCTTATGGAATCTTACGTAAGTTGCCTCTTTTGCCCTTGTCTGTCTTCACTTCATCCTCCAGCACCATTACCAATGTGAAAGTCCTACTCATATAGTCATGTAGATGTGGGGGGCTTTTATTTGACATGGCTCCTTCCCTTGAGGAAACTCACGTGACCACCTTTTCTAGCTCTAGGGCTGATCTGGGCATAATGTCATTCCTTCAGTAAGGTAGGGTTCTAGGTAGAAGTGGTTCTGTCTTTTGGGTAATTCCTGCTTTATCAACATTCTGAAGTCTGTCAGCGTAGCATACCCGTGGGCCCTTCCCTTTTTACGTTGTGCCGAATTTTTAAACTATTTGAAATGCTGATTAAGGTTTAAGGGATTGGACAGAGCCAACAGTATAAAGTAGGGAGAAATTTCTGAAACCAACCAATTTCTTCCATGCTTTATGAGTCATTTACTTTCTCATCTTAATTTTATAATCAGTGGTGTCCCTATACTTAAAGGAAGGTCCCATCAGGCAGTATAACGGTCCTCCTCGAGGTCGGAAGGAGCGACCCACATAATTCCAGGTGGGTTTTCTCATGGGGGCATTCCTGTCAGTCTACTGGAGATTTGCTGTAGCGGAGAAGCCTCTGGATTAGGAGTTTTGGTTTTCAAAGAATGGGTATCATTTCAGGTGCCTGATTTATTTCAGTCAAAATAGGTTGTGAAGTTCCACTGTTTTTTCTTTTTTAAACATTTCTCACCACATTCCTTAGCAGGGTGTTCTCACAGGAGACTGGACAGTGGGGAGAGCGATTTTAGGAAAACCCCGTGATAGCTACATTCAGAGCTTCTAGGCGTGGCAGTGCCCCCAAGTGTGTTTAAAATACTTGAATATGATTAAAATACTTGAGTCTCTAGGAGAGAGTTTGAAGTAGGGAGGGAAAATTTTTCTAGACAAGTGGTTCTTAACCATTAGAGCCTCATGAGAGCTGTAGATTCTCCAAAGAATAATGTATATGTACCCAAAACGGTGTGCAGACTTTCAGAGAACTGGAGGCTTTCCTAATTTAGCCTTGTCATGGACCCTGGGTGAACAGGTTTTGATAACTTGGGCCCATGTGCACAGAGGTGAATGAGATTTGAGCCTGGGGGGTGGGGTGGGGAAGGAGCTCTGAACCAGGGCAATGGGATAATTGCAGAAGGCATGATGCTTCCCTGTGTCCTTGGCCAGGTCAATCATCAGGGCCTGAACAAGAACATCAACCTGGACTCTGTGGATGGAGTGCCAGAGGCAAGCACTGAGGAGTGGAGTGAGCTGACAGAGGCAGAGCGGCTCCAACAGAACCTCCAAGCTTATCGAACCTTCCATGTCATGTTGGCCAAGCTCCTAGAAGACCAGCAGGTCCACTTGACCCCAACTGAAGAGTGACTTCCATCAGGCCATCCATACCCTTCTACTCCAAGTTGCTGCATTTGCGTACCAGCTGGAGGAGCTGATGGTGCTCCTGGAACACAGGATCCCCCCAGCCGAGGCTGCCAGGGCGCCTGCTGCTGCCGGAGACGGTGGTCTCTTTGAGAAGAAGCTGTGGGGCCTAAAGGTGCTGCAGGAGCTTTCCCACTGGACAGTGAGGTCCATCCATGACCTTCGTGTCATTGCTTCTCCACAGACGGGGGTCCCAGCACACGGCAGCTAACAACCAGGAAAATGCAGCCGTTACCCCTCTCTTTGCTTTCTTTTCTAATGGAGTGTGCATAGCTCTTTCCAAACATCTTAACTTTTCGAAAGCCACGAACATTTTCATCAAGTAGGGTTGGAGACAATGAGCAAATAGAGCATCCGTTTTTAGTCTGGGGTGCTATGTGAATGAGTGAGTGAGCGAGAGAGAGAGAGAGAGAGAGAGTGTGTGTGTGTGTGTGTGTGTGTGTGTGTGTGTGTGTGTAAGGGGGGCCCAGGGACAGTCACCAGGAATGGTTGCCGCTCACCACAGTGCCCTCTAGCTAGCATATTTAGAGGAGGAGTATATTTTTTAACTCTAGTTCTAGAAGACTCTTCTGAGAAAACTAAGTTAATGAATGAAGAATCCTGGACTTCTCTTGCCAATTCAAACTTGGATAATAAAAATAATAAGTAACATGGACTGCCTTAATATATCCAGGCACCAGGCCCCAGGCCCCAGGGGCTTTACGTATAGTGTATATAATTTTCACAACTCTACTGAGATGTTTGGCAGATGAAAAAACCGGCCCTCAGATTTTTAACTGGGTCAAGGTCTCACAGCAGGTGGCACACCTGCGTTTGAATCCAGAGTTTAGTCGTTCCGAAGCCTCTGCCTACTCGGGGCCTGATCACAAGCCTATGTGGCTGTACCTTTTTACCATGAAGAAGAGGAAGATACACCTGGGCAACTCATTCCCAGCACTGAAAAAAGCCATCCCAGTTACTTGTGTCAATAGGTCAGCCACACGGTTTTATTATTGAAAACACTGGCTGCCCCTCCTGGCAAACAGCAGTTAGGCGCCACCAGACTAGTGACCTTGAGCAGCTAGAGACCTGTCATGCCCACTGAGGTTCTTGAGCCCTGGGCTGGGCACAGCTTCTCTCGGGTTACCTCACATTGACTATAATGGGTCATGCAGTGATAAAGGCCCTGTGACCCAGGTGTCCATGTACAGTGGATGGAATACTACTCAGGTTAAAAAGTCTCAAAACTCCTTCGCTGCACATTCTCTGGACTTAGTCATGAGGAGAGGGTAAGGTCTACTCGGTCCCCACTAGGAATGCCAACGATTTTGAAAGTGTACAGTGAGACCACCCTGTTGTACCACAAAGGGACGGCCTGGCAGGAGGAAGGGGGGAGGGGAGGAGCCTGGCCTGTGAGGCTATCAATGCCCTACGCAGTCTTATGCACCAAGGGCGTGCTGTAAATCTAGAAGTTCCCACGGGTGTACTATACACTGCCAATTCATTATCATGGAGTGTGTCCCAAATCACACTGGGGGTCGGAATTGGTTTTGTTTTCATTATCCGAGGCTCCTGTTGAATTGTTGAGTGCCACAACTGGCTTCAGTGAGCCACAACCCCAGGTGACTGAGGGGATTCCAAGGTTGCACCCCAAGTTGACTTGAGTCCTTTCTCGACATGGATTAGCATCCCAAGCTGCACCAAGTCTATTTCCGCGAGGACTCACAGTTAAGCACTGTGGCCCCTGGTATACAAGGAAAGTAAGGTTCTGTGCAAGTAAGGCTGCATATAAAATAAGGTGCTGCAGTGGATTGTAAGGCACAGGTTTTTGGCGTTACTGAGTTCAAAGGAAGGCTATCACTGAGGGCCAGCTGGGGCTCAGAGGCTGACAGCGTACAAAAGGGAAATCAAGGGTAAAAGCAGGAATAGTTCAAGTTAAAAGTGAGTGAGGTCTTGATACACATTCTGGGTCCTGCTAGTTGTAGAGTTTAGTTTTAGTTCATAAGTGACGATACAGGTAATGTGGTCCCCTATTGAATCCATAAGGGCTCATTTCATTCACACGTGTCTCTTTTGCAGCATTCTCGATAGTCACTGTCTCTGCTTATGAATGCGATGGTCAGATTTATCCGGATAGTATTTTAGGCTCTTTTATTTCATAGAGAAGGCTGTGGCGAAGATTCTTTACTGAAAAATGGTCAATTATGAACTCACTAACTGAAAGGTGTTCCCCCTGTCTGAGGAAGTGTATAACCAGCAGATGTGGCAGGGCAGATATCCACGGGGATTTCAGAAATCTCAGGACGGGCTGAAAGTCGGCTGAGTTGTCTGTGAGGCGGATTTGATGTGGCAGAGGGTCCAGAAAAGGTAGAAGATACTAACCCCTGAAAGAGACTCAGTAGAGAAAAGAGGAGTTTCAGTTAGGTCACAAAAATAGCAAGTGTTGCCTGAGTGCCATCGCAGCAGGCTGCAAACTAGAGCTCAGTTTCTCCCTCTAGAAACGTGCAATAAGCCTCTCAAGAAGTTTGGGGCAGACACCCGGTAGGGGACAAAAGCAAAGGAGAAATGGACATAGGCATGTATGAGATCTGACGGTGATGACTGTGACAGGGTGTCTATCTGGAATGTCTTAAGGCTGACAAAGCATTGTACTTGCTGCGTGTCTTCTAGTAGGGGTGATGGAGACATTGGAGGTATATTCATGTATTTTTTTAAGGACTCAACTCAAAAGGACATGGTTCTTAAAATTGAGGGGGTCAACACATTCATGGAAAAATTCCATTATCTTTTCCTTTTTTCCTGAACATTTTGAAACCCCTTCATGTATATGTAGCTATATCGTGAGAGTTCTTTAAAGGTATGCAAATTAAATTCCTACCCTCTCCCTCATTTTGTAAAGGGTGTTCTCTTCATCCCACCGGAACCCAGAAAAGTCTTCGCTCAGATTTTGTTTTTCAGAATCCATCGAAGCGTTTGTGTTGATGAATGTTGCTTGATTCTGCTTGCACGGCTTTTGTAGGGTACTTGGGTAAAAGCTTGCAAATGAGCACCCATCCAAAGGCCGAACATGGCCTGACATTCACTTGAAGATCATCGCGGTTGGTGGCATTGAGAGTTTTAATAAGAATGGAAAGTGTAGTCATAGCCCTGGTATTGCTGCTATTTCAGGCTGCTGTGGGTTAAAGCCCAAGGGATGACTCATTGTTGTGACCACTGGTCAAACCAGGAGAGGCTAAGTAAATATTCCAGTACTTGACAGTGACTTTCTTCACCTCGCATGAGGGAATTGAACGAGTCTCCCTCTCTAGGGGGCAGATAAAGATGCAGGAAGCAGAGGAGCCCATGAAGGGATTGGTAAGTGAAGGGGGAGGAAGAATTTGGATAGTACTTTTTGGATTATCTTAGGTCTTGTTGCTGCTGTTCGTTGCCTCTCAGTTGATTTCCACCTTGCGCGACCCCATGTGCCGAGAGTAGAACCGAGCCATAGAGTTTTCATGGCTGTGACCTTCAGCTCAGAGCTGCACATTTGCGCTACCCAGAGACTTCTTGATTAGAGATACACATTAAATAAAAGACATTAACGTAATGGGCCAGGGTGTTCTTCTAAAAGAATGATTAACCACCTCCATTTCAAGTCGCAGACTGTGAACCCCTCCAATAAATGAAAACGATAAACGGCTTCATTTCCCTGCTCCAAAGCCCCCACTTGGAGAAAAAAGAGTGAAAAGAATAATTTGATCTTTTGGCGGTGTGTGTAGGGTGTGAGATAAGAACGTCTGTGTGCGTGTGGCTCAACATCAAACACCCAGATCTGTTTTGGGAAATAAAAGGGGCAAGGATGACCCGATGACAAAAAGCACGAGTTACTCCTGATTTCTGTATTTGGGGAAGAGCAAAGGGTATTTCAAGTGATGTCAGCAGTGTTGGAAATACAATCCTCCCCCACCAGCCTCTGGCTCAGTCAAGTGTGCTGGGTAAATCTCCACTGGGCAAGACTCCCAGGACCAAGTCAGCTCAGAAAAGGTGGCTTCCTCTCCACTGCCAGGCTGCTGCTCTGCCCCGTGGCTCTGCTGCCCTGGGTCTGCTAGCCTGCAAATGAAGCAAGGATTCCTTTCGCATGATGTGATCGTAAGCACTTGACCCTCCATTGAGCCTGCACAAGAGAAACACCCGGATTAGGCCACTTCTGATCAGTTGGAAGGCAGGAATTCTGGTTAATCACCATCAAGACGATTCTGAACAATGGGTGTGACCTGGAAACAGATCCACCAAGCCCAGCTTCGCAGGTGCTCTGGGTGGTTTTTAGACTGCCCACTTTGGGGCTAATATGCGGAACACTTCACCATTTGTGCCACCCAAAACCCAAATTCGCTGCCATCCAGTCGCCGACTCACAGGGACCCTGTGGGACAGGGTAGGAAGGCCCCTGGTGGTTTGTGAGACGACTCTGCGGAAGTAGAAAGCCTCATCTTTCTCTCTTGTACCACCCACAAACCAGAAATTAAGTTCGGGAAAATCACAACAGGAAATTTGAGAAGTTGCTGGGATGGCGCTTATTTCCACCCACATGTTCAAAGCGACAGTGTTAATTTTCTCATTGCCATGCGAGGCAGCACTCTGTCTTACAGTGCCACGTCATTAAACAGTCCCATCTGCTCCACAGCTATCTGCTCCACAGCTGCGGGCAATGCGAATGAGCACCGACTTGCTCAGGTTCCCTGGACTAGTAGGTCATAGGGCTGGGGTTTTCATTCTGACTTCAAAGCGCGTTCCATTACACCCCACTGTCAGAAAACGCTTGATAATTGAAGTGGTCTTCTGAAGTCTGTTCTCCGTCTCTGCAATTCCCTTTCCTTAGGAAATGCCAGTACAGACTGCCAGATCTTGCTCTGTGATAAAGCCGATGTAAGTTCCCAAACCTTGGGATAACTCACTTGTTCAGAGTTTCACCATCGTTGGTGAAATGGAACTGATGGCGCCTGTCTTCACAGGTGATCTCGTGGGTCAGTCACAGTATCTGAAAGTGCACTCACATGACATACAAACATCGCCAAGTGTGTTTAATCTTAGTGTCTCAACATGGATTCAGCTGAGCCATGTTGGTTGAAAAGAGTTCTGTAAGGATCTCAGAAAGAACAATGGACACACAGACTCCAGGAGGCATCGTTGTGGAGGGTTGAGGCCCAGGCGGTTCAGAAGACAACTTGCACAGTGACAAGAGCCAGACAAGTTGTGGAGGAGCTTGGCAGGCTCTAGAGAGTTAAGGAAAGGTGCAAACCAAGGCACCGCCCTAAGGTTTGTTGAAGCATGCCCGTAGAATTATCCCTCCTAGACCCACACCCTCCTCGATCACAGAAATTCCAACTTCATTCACTCCTGTCCCTTCCTTAAATACATCAGCATGAGAGAGCCAGAGAGGTTCAGCAGTAGATCCTGACACCCCCCGCTAGAAAGTGGAAGAATTGGAACTTTGCATGAGTCCAGTCGTGGTGCAAGGTCCTCTCCACTGCCCCTCCCAGTTTCCTCATTACTTACTGCCATCAAATTGATTCCAACTATTAGTGACCCTGTAGTGTATAGGTCTCTAAAGACCAAATCTACAGACTCATCTTTACCTGGGCCAGAACTCCTAAATAGTTTTAATTGCATGCCCCATCTTTCACTGTCATCAAAAAACAACATGTGTTAGGTGCCTTCGATCTGGTTCTGATTCAGGGACCCTAAGAACAACACAACCAAGCACTGCCCCGTGCTGTCTCACAACTGCTAGATTTGAACCCATTGTAGCCACCGTGTCAAGACATCTCAGTGAGAATCTTCCTCTTTGCCGCTGACTCAATTTTCCCCCAGCCTGGTGTTCCTTCTCTAGGAGCTCGTTCCTCCTGACGAGATGTCCCAAGTACATGAGACAAGGCTCATGAGGAGCATGATGGTTGTACTTCCCAGACATCTTCTTTGTTCTACCACTCCATGGAGTCAATATGCTTTGCAGAAACTGTTTCCAATAGCTGTAATTCAATTCTTCCATGGTCTTCCTTATTCACTGCCCAGCTTTTGCAAGCATCTGAAACAAAAATACCGTGGCATGGATTAGGTGAATCTTAGGTCTTCGTTCTTTAAAGGGGTTCTTTGCGGTAGATTTTCCCAATGCAGTATGTCCTTTGATACTTTCACTAATGCTTCCGTGAGCGTGGATTGTGGATCCAAGTAAAATGAAGTCCCCGGCAATGTCACTCTGACCCCATTTATCATGTGGTTGTTTATTGGCCCAATTGTGAAGATTTTTTGCTCTCTTTCTGTTGAGATGTAATCCAAAATGAAGGCAGTAGGCTTTGATCTTCATCAAGTGCTCCAAATCCTCTTTGCTTATAGCAAAAAACAAAAAAAGTGTCTGTTGCATATCACAGGTAGTATTTAACCTGCCTTGTGGAAAAGTAGTCATTCAAGCATCGTTGTGAATGCTGTTTTGAAGGTGAACGCAGCTGGAGGCAGCGAGGACACTGGACTGCTCAAGGTAAGATGCCTTTTATTCGCCAACAACGGCCCACTTAGAAACTACAATGGGCCAGCTACTATTACATGCACCAGAATACAGGTGCCAACACAAGATGGTGTCTGCATTATGCAATTTGCATTCTAGTGGGGGAAGATGGGCAACACCAGGAATGCCCTTTTAGAGAGTGATAAGGATCATGTAGAGAATCAAAGGCCATGATAGAATGACTTAGAGTAGAATCCAAGATGGCCTTTCTTAATAGGTGTGCTTATTATTCCTTGGTACGACGGAGAGAACACACACCGTGGGACACGTGGGGTTAGTCTACAAGCTGGGGCTGCTGCTCTTAGCTGCTCGACTCAGTGACTCCATGCAATGCAGAAGGAAATCCACCCTGGCACTGCACCCTCCCCAGGATCAGTGCTTCAGACTGTTGGACTCCGAGCATTTTCTTTGGCTGATTTTCTGAAATAGACCACTAGGCCCTTTCTCCCACATGTTAGTCTGGAAGGACCCCCCCGAAACCTGTTTGCGTCCTAGTAGCATGCAAACCACTACTGAGGGGCACGTGGTGACTGCATTTGTGGTGCATTGGCCAGGAATCAAACCCAGAGCTGCCACATGGATGCAATAAAAGGATACTATAAAATTACTTGAGATTTGGTGGGCGATTTGGGGCAGGTCCAAGGACGCAGGCATTAGCAATGTTATAACGTGCTCATTTTGTTTGCTTTTTTAAAAAAA